TAAGCTGTCTGTGAAGTTATATACATGCATCTTTAGCATTTGTTCTATTTTCCTGGAAGGTTTTATTTCTAACTGGTATATCTGTAACGTTATTTGATTGTTTTAGGTGTTTTGGGTAACTTCTGGGGGATAAAATAAATCAATGAATGGTAAAAATGAGAATATAACTTGTTATTTGTTAAAATAAGAAGTATGTATACACACTGGGCACGGGGTGTAATAGGGAATCAGAGATGCGGTGGGGAGGGTGGAATAGGGAAGGTCAAGTCTACGTATTACACGGTGATGGGGAGGGGGCAAGGGAAAAGGGATTGTGCTTTAGGGAACATTTTGCCAAGGCAGTGGCGTTACTTTCTACCGAATTCCAACTGTCCAAGGTTCTTTTACATGCCTGCCAATAAGTACATGGGGCCTCGTTTTTTGCCCCATTCGAACGACTAGATGATGTGCAGTCCCAAGCTCTTCGTACTTCACGGACATTTTGCCCAGACAGTCGCGTTTCTGTCTACTCTTTGTCGAATGCAAACTGCCAATAATTATTGTAGATTCCTGTAAACGAGTACACAGGACCAATGTTTTTTTTATCCCATCCAGCCGACTAGATGGTGTGCATTGTCAGACTGTTAGTACTGCACTCGGGGGGGGGGGCGGATGATTAGCGCGTGTGCGTTGTATTATACGGTCTGTCATTGAGTCAGCTGGCGTGGTTTCGATTCCCCGGTTGTACATGACAAGGAGTAAGGTCGCCTGTCCAACCTCGTGGGTTTTCATGTGGAGGTATATTGTCGTTTCTAGATACCTCCAGGTCAAACTTTTTATCCGAGTTCGATAAAACTTGAAATATATGTTTATATCCCAACGATTTTGGTTCTGTTCGATATCATCATGTATCGGACCGTCGTAACGTCATGGATTATTATAGTCCCTGATTGTCCAAAAACTCGAGTTTAGAAATCTCTATTGTTATTTCATTTTGAAAAAACAAGTTCATATAGATCACCGTTACATCATAATTACCGTTGAGTTTGAATTTCATTAAAATCAAAACAAAACTTCCCGTCAAAATGGCCGCTCCCTTTTACGCAAATTGTGTTAAAGCGTGTGATATCAAGGTTATGGATGTGATGAAACTCAAAGTACATGTTTATATCCCAACGATCTTCCTGCATTATGGCCCTGATGGCAAGCAAAAATCAAGTTTTAGCTTGTGAGCCCTCTAGAGATCACAATTTTTATCCGATTGTAATGAAACTGAACATATCCTGGATTATGGCGTCTGATTGTACAACAAATCACTTTTTTAGCCTGTGGACACTCTAGAGGTCACAATTTTTATTTGATTTTAAAAACAGTTCAAATTTTCAATTTCGAGACTGTCTGGCAAAATGGCCGCAACCCTGTACGCAAATAGTATAATAAGCATGTAATAACAAGGTTGTCGACCATTTAGATGTCACAATATTTGATCTGATTTCCTTTCGATATTGCCGCATGTCGGACGGTAATATCCTGGATTATTGCCCCTAATTGTACGAAAATCGCTTTTTTAGCTTGTTCTCTGTCCATCTCTTGAACAATGTGGGCGTATCTAGTTATGGCAACCGCTTGTTGACAGTTTCATTCATGATTTCGCTAGATATGGGATGGGCGAAGGGTAAATTCAAGCCAGAAATAATATGCAAAATATATACAGTCTGATGCCTGATTGACCCGAGCTGTAGCTCTCCAACAAGGGTGACACAAAGGTTATTTTGCTGAGTATGAAACGAGGCACGAAATGGCTAATTATTAATATTACCACCTTCTGGAGAATAAGACGACCAAAGTCGATTGATCATTGCAGGTCACCCTGACCTCCCGTAAGCCAAAATAACACGTTCCAAAGAAAGGGCTCACATGTCAAATCCTAACTCAATCACCAGGATACTACTATCCACCAACACGGATCGCAACGAACGCAAAAACGTTGCCCCATGAATATAGTCGCGGTTTACGACACACGGGATACACCGCTGACTGGCGAAACGAAATAGGATCTGGGTTTTAATCAGATTGATTTCCGTGTCTAATATTTAGGCGAATTACAGATGGTTAAACTTCTGGAAAATGCAAGCGGTTGCCATGCAAGATAAGCTCACATTTTGCAAGAGATGGACAGAGAATAAACTAAAAAGGCGACTTTTCGTACAACCAGGGGCCATGATCAAGTGTGTTACGGTCCGACATGCGACAATATTAAAAGAATTAAAGATCCTTGGCATATATATATGTATTTTAAGTTTCATCAAAATCGGATAATTGTGACCTCTAGCGGGTCCATAAGATAAAAACTCGATTTTCCGTACAGTCAGGGGTCATGACAATTCATTTCAGGACAAACATGTGGTTCAGTTTTGTCATTTCAATAATTCGCTTGCGCGTGTAGGGCTCTTTAGCAGTTGGTGAAAACCGGACGACCCGGAGAAACCAACGAGGTTGGACAAGCACATTCTGTACCAGATGGGAATAGAAAACACGCCATTTGACTTAATGACAGACCTTATGACCCAATGCGCACGTGTTGAGTTTGTGTGGAATATGCTAGAGACAATATGTAGCATATCTGACCTACGGTATATGTTTGACACTGGTTGAGCATTATGATTATAATGTTGAAACCCGCATTGAAACAACGTGATTTTTTGATATTTGCGAGGGGGCACAAAAACTCTAAACCATGACGCAAAGCTCGTCATTGCGTCCCTCAAACTTAGCCCCTGATGTCAAATCGGGTCAGTTGTGGTATGCCATATCAGGCCCAATCATTTTTCCAGATATGGGCCGTGTCTGTGCCCACGGTGTGTTGTCTGGGAATATCATGTCCTTGATTAGAGACAACTGTTTGTATCATGTGTTCAATGTGGTAATATTATGTCCTTGATTGAGACGATCATTAAACGAGGCCAAGTCAACATACACCTGATATGCAGATTAATTATTAAAAATCAAAACACTGCTGTCTTCTAATCGTGTTGTATTTTCCGTAAACTCGAGTTGACAATCTCGGGGAAAAAAATCTGGAAATATCGTTTTAACTGCTTTGCGAGATGTATTAGGATGTTCTCAACTTGTAAATTATTGGAGTTGCAAGTATATTCCGGGGGGTTTTAAGTGATTTTTTAAAAAAATTGTATGATTAATATCAAAACAAGATATGCTATAAGTAAATGCAATTGTCGAGGGCGAAGTTCAAGTGAATTCCGGTGTGTATAGGTCAATTCCGGTATTTAGTCTACCTCGTCTATACCGCATGTCTGGATAATCTCGACAGATGGAATTCGATATAAGAGTATGCCGTAGTGCCGCTGTCCGGCACAGTGTATGGCGTATGCCCGTCTTCATAAGCCCAGTTCCAAGCAGAACAGTAGGACGTTAAAACCCCATTTCATTTCTTTTCATTTCTTGAAACTAGTTGGGAAGCCCCCCGGTCCCTACCCCATGCCCCGGCTCCTTCAGCTATGTCTACGAGCATGATTTGCTACTATATTATCTTAGCCCGCTGCCACCGCTGCTTAATATTGAGCGACTTGTTTATTCGACTGAAGTATTCGACTGAACTTTTCGACTGGTTTATTCGACTGGATTATTCGACTGAACTAACTGACTGATTTTATCGACTGGACGAGGCCACATGAAAGTGTCAAATACCTCACCCCCACCCCATCTCCTTTCTTCGTTCATATCATATATATGGACTCTATTCTTTTCGAGGCGGACAAGGACAGCTGTCTAGTCTTTCGGATGGGACGAAAAACCGAGGTCCCGTGTATACATTGGCGTGGACGTAAAAGATCCCTTGACAGATGGAATTCGATATAAAAGTATGCCGTAGTGCCGCTGTCCGGGCAAAATTTCCCTCATCGCACAGTGTATGGCGTATGCCCGTCTTCATTAGCCCAGTTCCAAGCAGAACAGTATAGGACGTTAAAACCCCATTTCATTTCTTTTCATTTCTTGAAATTAGTTGGGAAGCCCCCCGGTCCCTACCCCATGCCCCGGCTCCTTCAGCTATGTCTACGAGCATGATTTGCTACTATATTATCTTAGCCCACTGCCACCGCTGCTTAATATTGAGCGACTTGTTTATTCGACTGAAGTATTCGACTGAACTTTTCGACTGAATTATTCGACTGGATTATTCGACTGAACTAACTGACTGATTTTATCGACTGGACGAGGCCACATGAAAATGTCAAATACCTCATCCCGACACGCCCCCCCCCCCGCCCCATCGCATCCCCTTTCCATGTTCATATCATATATATTGACTCTATTCTTTTCGAGGCGGACAAGGACAGCTGTCTAGTCGTTCGGATGGGACGAGCATGAACTAACTGACTGATGTTATCGACTGAACTAACTGACTGATTTTATCGACTGGACGAGGCCACATGATAATGTCAAATACCTCATCCCCATATGCCCCCCTAACCCAACATATCATATATAGGGACTCTATATTCTTTTGGAGGTGGACAAGGACAGATGTCTAGTCGTTCGGATGGGACGAAAAACCGAGGTCCCGTGTACACATTGGCGTGCACTTAAAAGATGGGGGCATATGGGGATGAGGGAAAAAGTAAAGCATGACTTTATAAAGCCGCGGTGGCAATAACACCTTAAAGTTTTAATTTGAACAATCAAATTTGAACATGAGGGGACGTAAAAAATAAACAAAAACAATGATAAAAGATATTGGAATTAGTGCGTTTTTTATTTAACTTATACTGATTACAAACGATTCCAAAATTTTAATCAGCCATCGACCGGCTTATTCGACTGACTATTTGATTTGGACTTAGGGTCGACTCACCTCGTCTATACCGCATGTCTGGATAATCTCGACCCAATGTTAACACAACTACGGAACCGTGGTCATAAACAAATAATAAAAGCCATATTCAGATCACGCTATATATATATAGCGTGATCTGTACATATATGGCTTTTATTATTTGTTTATGACCATTTTATATTTGTAAACTATAAGAATAATGATTAGGAATTGAATAATATTACGAGACAAATATAGTCAGTACAACCCCACCCAACTATGTCCCTTCGCGTCACAGTTTATTTTTCAGTTCCCCATCCAAGGGAAACAACTGTAAATGAAATGACTCTTGACCTATTTGCAATGCCTAAAATAAGAACGAAACTAAAGAAAATAAAGAGACCAAGATTATAAATTAACCATCATAGAGAAGTTGAAGTGTTGTGAAGATTGAATCATGGCGTCTCTAGATATGTATCTATACTGTGGACTGACGCTCGTATTAGCATACTTAATTTATAGATGTTCTACCTTAGTAACCGGCTACATGCAATGGTTGAAACTAAACAACAATTTTGTTCATTTACCGTTCCACTGGTTTTTAGGAACTTTACACTTGGTTGGTAATATAGTTTATTTGGTTATTGATTTTAAACGTTAGTAGTTTTATAGTTGTCTATCATTCATATTAAATGGAAATAAACAACGGTTAAAAACACACTATCAATGTTGTTGGTAGGGTGACCCATGTACTCTACAGAAATACAGTCCACCGCTGATAGTTCGAGAATATAAAAGAGAGGGATGAATAGGAGTATAAAATAATCAGAATAAAATTATAATACAAAAGATGACAGCACCAAACGAGACAGATATAATAACACATACCCCCCCCCCCCCCCAAAAAAAAAACCCCAAAAAACCCCCAAAATCCACATATAACTAACAATAGCAAAAGGCATAAATATGCAGAACAAGGAAAATACATTATTTTTATATATGGACATACATGTAGAGGGTACCAGTATTATTATTTGACAGTAAAATATTTAAAAATTTGTTTCTTGAAAGAATTTAAGTTAGTGGTCAGTTTTAAGTAAGACGGTAATGAATTCCATAGGTTTGAGCCTTTAAAACGGATGCTGTTTTTTACAATATTAAGCTTTGGACGCAGAGTGATTAGTTTGTTATTAATGTTGGTATAGGGAGTTTCATAGAAAGACAAAAGATTGAACAGATAAAATTTTGGAAATAAAGTTACATAAATTGTAGGCATGGCGGTTTTCTATTGTTAAAAGTTTCAAGGGAGTTATTGTTGGGTACAGTTCAGTGGTATGATTGACATAGCTACTTTGTATGATCGACTTAGCTACTTTAACAAAAGGATTTCCACTACTAACTAGAGATTTACGAACGGGCGGGGGGGGTCAATGGCTGAATGGTTAGCACGTGCACGCTGTATCATCAGGTCTGTCATTGAGTCAACTAGCGTAGTTTTGATTCCCCGGTTGTACGTGACACGGAGTAGGGTCGCCTGGCCAACTCGTAGGTTTTCTCCAGGTCCTCTGGTTTCATCCCACTGCTAAAGACCCCTACGTGCAAGCGAATTATTGAAATAAAATTGAACCATCTGTTAGTCCCGAAATGACCTAGTTTATTTTCAGCAATGTTTCCCATGTTTTGTTGGTCAAGGCATGTTTATATAAATCAAATATCAAGTGTGAAATCAATGAGATACTTACGTACATGTAAACAAAACCTCACATGTGTAAATGAAGAAACGTCCAGTCAACCCGTTGCCGGGAAGCAATGAGTATGAAAAGCTATCAAGGAAGAGAGACTCGACACAACTAACACATGATCACTACTAACACATGGTTCAATTTTGTTTCAATAATTTGCTTGTGCGTAGAGGTCTTTACCAGTGGAAGGAAACCGGAAGATCCGGAGAAAACCCACTCGGTTGGACAGGCCTTCGTCACGTACTAGCGGGGAATTGAAACCATGCGACTCAATGACAGACCTTATGATGCATTTCAGGGCTGTCGGTAATTTCTCACAGATGATTAGCAGCACTGCTAATCAAAAAGTCCAATTTTGCCAAATTTGATTAGCAAATTTAAAAATTGATTAGCAGTTTTTCAGTTTCAACATAAAACACCTAAATAACAAGATTATTTTAATTTTAATTGATAACAAATGATTAGATTTCATTCTTAAGATTTTTTTAGAATTTTAGCACTTCTACAGGTAGCTGTGAACATTTCCGAATGAGTGTAGACTTTTGGTTAGGCCTTATGTCTGGGCAGTGACTTCTTATTTCTTCGTTAGAAAACAATTTCGTCTGCTTTTTATCGTGTGTTATTATTTTTGTGGGGGGTTGGATGGCTGAATGGTTAGCGAGCGCGCGCTGTATCATAAAGTCTGTCATTGAGTCGACTGGCGTGGTTTTGAATCCCCGGTTGTACGTGACAAGGAGTAGGGTCGCCTGTCCAACCTCGTGGGTTTTCTCCGGGTCCTCCGGTTTCCTCCCACTGCTAAAGACCCCTACGCGCAAGCGAATTATTGAAATAAAATTAAACCATATGTTAGTCCCGAGATGACCTAGTTTGTGTCGAGTGGACGTTAAACACCATTTCTCTCTCTCTCTCTATTATTTTTGTTCAATCGTAAGCACGCGGTATTTTACGAATAATCTCGATTAACTAGACGCACGCGATATAAACAATAATAGTTTATGGGAATTCTTACTTTGATTTCTCATTTTACAATACGTTTACACATATTTATTTTTTATATTTTATTTACAATACGTGGGGGATACATTGAATTTAATTTTTTTCAAATTGAATACTGATATAATTACTCGAAATTGACATGTCTCGCAACGTGAGTGGTACTACTTGATTCCCTATTTCCGGTTTAATAGTCCCGATTCATAGAGTTATGTCCCTGTATTATATAGCATTGTTATATAGTATAATGAATTGAGTCTGGGTAGTTCGAGAAGAAAATGTCACACGGAGAATTCCGTTTTGTTTATAAAATTTATTTGAGATTTTATATACGTTGAAAGCGTTGAGAAATGTGGATTAATCTTTGTGTCAATATCCAAAATGACAGGCATGTTAATGATTCGCAGTTACTGCGAATCAAAAACGTTAGATTTTAATTTTTGATTAGCAACGGACAAAATATGTATCGCAAATTGCGCTGCGATACTGGTTGTCGGCAGCCCTGATGCATTTACCATTCAGCCACCCAACTCCACTTCAAGGACATACATGTACATGAAGAAGGATGCCATTTGTTTACATAAAAATAAAGGGAAGCATTTTTGTCATCACCTGATAATGATCAAATTTTTGTCCCCCCGCCTTTCCAGGAATGCAAGGGACTATTAAAATGGGTTCGTCTGTCCGTCCGTCTGTCTGTCCATCCCTCACACATTTTGGGACACAATAACTCTCTATCTAATTGAGCTACAATGTTCAGACTTGGTGTAGGTAGGCCTATTTGTTAAGACAATGCCTTGATGGAGTTCAAAGATGAGCACAATTTGATTGGTTGATGCTTTGGTAGGGTGACCCGTGCACTCTACAGAAAGTTGGTCTCGACACGGCTAAATGTGCACGCTTCAGTTGCGTGTCTCGAACTGATTTCTGACTACCCCGCACTCTCTTTGAGTCGATAAATAGCCATGGCACGTGCAATTCTCTACAAATATATCAACTATTACAGCCGTAAAAAATCTATTGTTGACGATTTTGAATAGCAGTAAAATTTAGCTTCTTGGTTTATTACAGCAGCTTTAGAAATTACGTTTATTTTATTTTTTAAATTGCCTTATCATTAACTGTACCGTTAAGAGTGGCATCTTTTGGTTTAGTACAAATAATATCTCTGAAACACTCGGGTTAGACAGGGACATGATACTAGCAGTAGTTTCATTTTACTTTTACAAGTTTCTTAAAACAATTGTTGAGTTGTCTAAAGTGCTAATTTCTAAATTCAATTTCTTGTTCTAGCTTTCTGTTATGTTTCGTAAAAAAGTAGTCTTGATTATCCCGACCTGTCAATCAGACGTAGAATGGTCGATAGATTGGTTAAGCGAGGCTAATTTCAAAACAAGGGCACGTAACCTACCTTTTACTCAAAAGTGTCTGGATGTTATGGACGACACTTGGAACCAGTTTTCAGTCTATTATTTATAGATGATTAATGGTCATAGCTTATTAAGTACAACATGATCGTTTATTTAGTGACTATAATTGTGTGAAACTGATTTGAGGCTTGGCATATATATAAATATTGTGGCGTAATTGTCGAGATATTTGGAGATATTTATTTATGGTGGGTCACCCTAGCTTTGGGACACGATAACTTTACTTCTAATGAAGTGAGAATGATGAAATTTGGTGTATAGTTTCATTACATCAATACCTTGACTAAGTTTGATAATACGCATTTTCTGCTCAGGGTAAGCAGAGCGATAAGCAATTTGATTGGCCAAGACTTTGGAACACAATAACTCTCCTTCTAATTGAGCTAGATCGTTCAGACTTGGTGTAAGGTTTTAATTAGGTCAATGCCCACATTTTCATGTTGATGTATAGTTTCATTACATCTATACCTTGACTAAGTTTGATAATATGCATTTTCTGCTCAAGGTAAGCGGAGCGATAAGCAATTTGATTGGCCAAGACTTTGGAATACAATAACTCTCCTTCTAATTGAGCTAGATCATTCAGACTTGGTGTAAGGTTTTAATTAGGTCAATGCCCACATTTTCATGTTGATGTATTATGCTGTCGCCCCTGTCTGCCTGTCCGGCCAGACGGACTCCTCCGTCCACAATTTGATTGTTGACGCTCTACAGTTCATAATTTTTATATGCCCACATTGAAATGTTTGGAGCAGAACAGTAGGACGTTAAACCCCATTTCATTTCGCTTAATCAATCATGTTTGCCATGACTGTCATATAATAAAGTATGATGCGTTAAATTTATTTTTAAATTTGACATTGCGATGACATTGCATTGTGGATTTCAGAAAATATTAATACGGCCGCGAGAAGCAAGGCATGTTTTTTTTATTCCAATTCATTCGGCTATACATATTTTAAGTTTTGATTGCTACATGTTCTTATGAAGATGACTGCTGACCGAAGCGTGTCACCAATAATTTACAATTAATTTCTTGTGTTACCTATTGCGTTTTAATCGTTAGTATTTATTCAGGTAGAAAAAAGCGCCACATGCATCTTTCGTACACCCAATGTACCGCCATTGCTAGGTCTTTGGGATTCTAAAGTTTAGGAACTGACACAATTTCTATGAATTTCCCAAATGATAGATTGATAAACATCACCGAATGATTTGTTCAGTTTAACTGTAAAGCCAATAGCCCTGTGTATTGCTAATATGTTATTTTCTATTCCGTATGATAAAGTTTACAATATCCATCATTATACTATCACTATTCGATAACTGCTATTGAAATCTATTCTTTTTGAAAAAACATCTATAAGAAACAGCCGTTCAGGTAACGGATGCGTACCATCATAATTTATCAAAAATTATAGTCATACTATATTCATGCGTTACAATATGATATTTCGACAAACATTTTCCTAGTAATGACAAATGGGGGTTGGATGGCTGAATGGTTAGCGTGCGCTCGCTATATCATAAAGTCTGTCATTGAGTCAACTGGCATGGTTTCGATTCCCCAGTTGTACGTGACAAGGAGTAGGGTCGCCTGTCCAACCTTCTGGGTTTTCTCCGGGTCCTCCGGTTTCCTCCCACAGCTAAAGTCCCCTACGCGCAAGTGCATTATTGAAAAAAAATTAAACCATATGTTAGTCCCGAAATGACCTAGTTTGTGTCGAGTGGACGTTAAACCCCATTTCTCTCTCTCCCCCTTATGTTGGCTAAGTTTTTCAAATAGCCAAGCATATGTAAAGTAGAGCCTTTGAATACCGATTTAAGGTAAGACACTTGGTTAAGTGAAAAATTAAGCCTTTTTACTTACCTTTAAGAAAACCTTGGAATACAGACCCAAATGTATAGCCTATCAACTTTATACTAAAAATCTTTAAGTATACATCATGCAACATAAACATTTAATTTATATATGTAGATTAAACATATTTGTTAAATTTAAAACAGGTATTTTATGGTTTTTAATAAAAATAAAAATTGAAGTACAAAGATACTAATAATAGAACCTTTGTAAAGTAAGATGTACACTGTCTCCCCAAACATATTTATTCACAATATTTGTTATGTTTCTCTCATTATATCTATAACGAATAAATTTACTGTTATATATTGATAATCTGATTAAAACACGTTTTACTTGTCTTCACAACACTACGATCTGGAAGAGTTGTTATATAACAGGCATTCTAGTTGATGTGAGGAATTAGTCAATGAAACTGTCTGTTACAACAAGTTCTTGATGTGCTCTGCACGGAACTGTGGGTAAACCCCTAGAAACGCCAACACTGATTGATTAATCATTATCGTTCAAATTTACCCCACTGGCGAGGCAAGATTTACCCCCCTGACGAGGCAAGATTTTGAACACCGACATTTAAGAAACAAAATGAAAACCACATATACCATGAATTATAGGTAAAAATGGGTATTAGCTTAGCAATCATTAATAAATGCCTGTTTCATGGCAGTGTAAAAGTATGTAATACCAAGGTTGTGGCAAACTAGATGTCACAATTTTTATCTAATTTTGATGAAACTTGAAATATATTTATATCCCGAAGTTCTAGGTCCCTGTAGATATTCACTCGTATCAGATCGTAATTTCCTGGATTTATGGCCCCTGATTGTACAAAAAATGGCTTCTGTTTTTGAGCTTGTTCTCTGTCCATCTCTTGCAACTGTGGGCATACCTTGCATGGCAACCGCTTGTTCATGCTTGTGAACACGACAAAGAGCAGGCATCAACATCCAATTGTTAGCCTGTGTGCGCTGTATCATAAGGTCTGTCATTGAGTCAACTGGCGTGGTTTCGATTCCCCGGTTGTACGTGACAAGGAGCTGGGTCGCCTGTCCAACCTCGTGGGTTTTCTCCGGGTTCTCCCGTTTCCTCCCACTACTAAAGACCCCCTACAGCCTACGCGCAAGCAAATTTTTGAAATTGAACTGTATGTTAGTTCGGAAATGACCTGGTCTGTGTCGAGTGGACGTTAAACCCCATGTCTCTCTCACTCCAATTTATCTATTGAGTAAGCTGTTGTTGAGCGTATTTCCATGCTTTGCGTAACTATCTTTATTTGCAGATTAAAAACTTCAAGGATGTGTTTGTTATACACGAGTCAATGGTTAAAGCAGGTCATAAGGTCATATTATACTGGTTCGGTCCATATAGACCTGTTTTAGCCACAGTTCATCCAGAAACAGTCAAAGTCATCTTGAAATCTACAGCCCCTAAATCCAAGGGACTTTTAGGATACACTTTAATGGTGCCCTGGCTAGGTAGGTATAAACATTTATTTTGTCTCTCTTTGTACAGGAACAGATAAATGATGGACACACAGGATTTTCTGCCGTGGTTCCCCCTGGTCAATGGTGCAGGAACGAAGGACTGGCAAGTGACCCTGCATAGTCGCTTGGATGGAACGAAAACCAAGGTCCCATGGACATATTGGCATGCATGTAAAAGAACCCTTGGCAGTTAGATTTTGTTATAAATATTATAAATTTCCCTCATAGCACACTATATGGCGAATCCCATCTTCATTAGGCCAGTCGGAGTAAGACATTAAACCCCATTACATTTCATTTTTGTTATAACGACATGCTATATATATATAGACCAGTGATTTTTGTTATAACGACATGCTATATATGTACAGACCAGTGATTTTTGTTATAACGACATGCTATATATGTACAGACCAGTGATTTTTGTTATAACGACATGCTATATATATACAGACCAGTGATTTTTGTTATAACGACATGCTATATATGTACAGACCAGTGATTGTTTCCATATTTTATTGTGTTTTCCATATTGTATTTTGTTATTGCATTTTCCATAGTGTGTTTTCCAAATTGTATTATGTTATTGTGTTTTCAGTATATTGTGTTGTGTTATTGTGTTTTCCATATTGTATTATGTTATTGTGCCCAATCACTACTCATGAGTTATATTGATCATGCTGTTTACTGTCATTGATTTGTTGTAGCACTAAGAAATTTGTGTAAATAAATAAAGAAATTTGTGTAAATAAATAAAGAAATTTGTGTAAATAAATAAAGAAATTTGTGTAAATAAATAAAGAAATTTGTGTAAATATTGGAAATTATATAAAACATGGAATTTGTGTAAACTATGGAATTTGTTAAAAATAGCTAATGTGCTGTAGGGAATATGAATACAGTAGGGAATTTGTGTGCAATAGCAAATTTGTGTGCAGTGGAGAATTTGTGTGCAATAAGATATGACAGGTTGGTCTCGCTATAGGATAGGACAAGCTGGTCTCGCTATAGGATAGGACAGGTTGGTCTCACTAGGATAGGACAGGTTGGTCTCACTAGGATAGGACGGGTTGGTCTCACTATAGGATAGGACAGGTTGCTCTCGCTATAGGATATGACAGGCTGGTCTCACTAGGATAGGACAGGTTGGTCTCACTAGGATAGGACAGGTTGGTCTCACTAGGATAGGACGGGTTGGTCTCGGAAAAGGATAGGACAGGTTGGTCTCACTAGGATAGGACAGGTTGGTCTGACTCTAGGATAGGACAAGTTGGTCTCACTAGGATAGGACAAGTTGGTATTAGTGTCGGATAGGACAGGTTGGTCTCACTATAGGGTGGAATTTGTGGGTAGAATTAATTGCATATTATACTTGCGGGTGTTGTCATGATCATCTGTTTACCCCAGAAAAAGATGTATATGTTTAGGGAAGGTGGAGGGGGAGGGGGGTCACAAGGGACAGAGGTCTGAGAAATGTTAACCAATGATCAAATTACCATTCTATTTAGGTAATTAAACCTTGCACAATCCACAAAGTCCCCCAACCATAACACCTATATTGTCAACATTGAGAAAGGACTATGCCCACTTGCTCCAGGTGGTAAAGTTGATCATCTAAGGCATCAAATAATCAAGATACTAACAAGGTGAAACACTAAACACAAGATGAGTAATGTTTCCCATCAAGAAAGGAAAGTCCTCAATGATCATAAAGATGACAAAACAGCTGATAATAGAAAAGTAACAGTGATCATGAACACTGAAGAATACCTCACCACTGTGAACGATCTATTCTTAGATCCGCTAACATATAGAAGGATCCTCAAAGATTTGATTGAAACAATTTAAATATTATTATTATTATTTTAACAGGTGATGGGTTATTGACAAGTGATGGTAAAAAATGGGAGAGAAATCGAAAACTTTTAACAGCTGCTTTTCATTTTGAAATATTACAGCCTTATGTTGGTGTTTATAACAGTGTAACAGATATATTAATGGTAGGCCTAGTCTACTCTTATTACAGATATATTAATGGTAGGCCTCAGTAGCTTGGCGGTCTTGGCTTCACTCCCAGTTTTGGCTGAGAAATTTTCTCAGGTTTTTCTGGGGTGATTCTCCCTTGTCAGTTGTGCAGGACGGGGAGAGAGAGAGAAATGGGGTTTAATGTCCACTCGACACAAATAGGTCATTTTGGGACTAACATATGGTTAATTTTATTTCATTAATTTGCTTGCGCGTAGGGGTCTTTTAGCAGTAGGAGGAAACCGGAGGACCCGGAGAAAACCCACGAGGTTGGACAGGCAACCCTACTCCTTGTCACATACAACCGGGGATTCGAAACCACGCCAGTTGACTTAATGACAGGTCGTATGATACAACACGCACGTGCTAACCATTCGGCCATCCAACCCCCCCCTGTGTAGGACGAAGAAGCTGGCAACAGCTGTCTAGTTGACAGTTGGAATGTGATGTAAGATTAGGCCGTAGCACACTGCATGACGTATGCTGATATTAATTAGCCCAGTTGGTGTAGAAAAGTAGGAAGTTTGACCCAGTTTTCAGCATTAACTGGGTTAAAGAAAGGCATACTACACTATACATACAGTTTCATACCAGAGCATGCCAATGTGTACACAGGACTTTTGTGAGTCATTGCCTTGCACACAGGACCTTTGCGAGCCATTGTCTTGCACACAGGACCTTTGCGAGCCATTGCCTTGCACACAGGACCTTTGCGAGCCATTGTCTTGCACACAGGACCTTTGCGAGCCATTGTCTTGCACACAGAACCTTTGCGAGCCATTGCCTTGCACCCCACTGTTGACAATTTATGTCTTAATTTGCACAACCAATCAATTTCTGAAACTACAAATTATATTACTTTCTTTTGGTAGAAAAAGTTAGAGAAAACAAATGGTGAATTTATTGAAGTGTTTGAACCGGTTAGTTTGGCCACATTAGATAGCATGTTACAGTGTGCATTCTCGTATCAAGGAAATATACAACAGCTCGGGTACGATCAAATATATTTTATCTTTATCAATTTTTTAAATTTTTATAGACCCACATTTCACAATTACCTTGTGAATGCAATAGAGGCTACAGTTAGTCTGTGAATGCGATAGAGGCTACAGTGAAAAGTTTTGTGGTCAGGAAACAAGAAATCCTATCGATATTCAGTCTTCTGCAATTTTCCATTCCAGAGTTATTTTTTCTTTAACGAAACCTTGCTAGGAAACATTTGGGTCATAACAGGACGAATCCTATGGATAATCAGCATGGTCGTCCATTCGAGAGTTCTCCCCCCCCCCCCCTCCTTCCATTGCTGAACATTGGTTGTTACAGTTTTCAATGGAATTGATTAAAATGTGGTGTGAAGAATTGAGGTCATCAGAGGACGAACTAATTTCCCTACAATAGTAGCTACAGTTTTTAACAAATGTTGAACACAGTAGACATCCTATTGTTTAAAGTGGATCCTTATCTTATAAGGTCATCATCAAGTTTTCCCTTCTGGATAAGTTGGTGTCTATGATTATTGTTTTACTAGCTGCTGTGTGGATGTTTTTTCTACACTTTATAAAGATCTAACAGCTTATGTGGATGTATCTTCTACACTCTATAAAGATCTATCAGCTAATTTGATGTCTGCTATTTTATGCACAAAACATATTTATTTTAGTTTGTATTTTATTTGTGTTTATATATTTGACAGAGTACATCATCCCTATGTTGTTTGTGTTCAGAGAATGGGTTGTCTGATTTTAAGAAGGAGTGTGTAAGTATATACTTTTCACACTGGTGTTGAACACTTATATTGTCCTTTTGTGGGGTGGGATGGCCGAATTTTTAGCATGTGCGCGCTGTATAATAAGGCAGCTGGCGTGATTTCGAATCCCCGGTTGTACGTGACAAAGAGAAGGGTCGCCTGTCCAACCTCGTAGGTTTTCTCTGGGTCCTCTGGTTTCCTACCACTGCTAAAGACCTGGTTTGTGTCGAGTGGACGTTAAACCCCATTTCTCTCTCTCTATAGATATATATTTTCCTTTAACAGTTCAACACTTATATTGTCCTTATTGTCCTTTAACATGTCAACACTTATATTGTCCTTTAACAGTTCAACACTTATTTTGTCCTTTAACAGTTCAACACTTATATTGTCCTTTAACAGTTCAACACTTATTTTGTCCTTTAACAGTTCAACACTTATATTGTCCTTTAACAGTTTGAATTCGACGGAGAGAAGAGACAAAACAAATAAACTCTTTTAGATGACTTGTTTGAACGCTTGACCATAAAAATATAGTTTACCATGTATTTATTTAGATACAACAGAATCCTTCTTCAGAGTTAACAATTGTTTAAATTTCCCCCTATTCAGTACTATAAATACTATTGGTAACCAATATTCTTCATTCTATTTGTTGAAAGTCCTGTGTTCTTGACAATAATAGCTACTGATAGTATTGATTATCAAGACCACATATCTTTCAATGAATTCTGGGAGCTGCTGTGACATCTCATGTTTGATCCATAGAAAGTTTATCAGGATTTTACGACCTGGTGGTGAAGGACAGAGAACTTCACAATAGACAATGTAAAGGTCTTGTATACACTTTGTACGTTAAAGATCCTTTGGTAGTTGAAACTCAATATAAGAGTAGGACATAGCTCCACTGTCCAGTACACTGTATGACGTATGCCCATCTTCATTAGCCTAGTAGGAGTAGGATGTTAAACCCCATTTCATTTCATTCCAACAGTTTAATTCTTTATCATTTGTTATTATCAATTTTTAATGGTCCAAGTAACTGACATTAGAATTTGTTAAAGTTTACTGATCAACAAAGATTATTTTTATTTTTCAGGAGTTTAGTGAATTTGATTACACCAATCTATAAACTAACTAAAGAAGGTAAAGAGTTCTATAAAATGTGTGATTATGTTCATCAGTTTTCACAAGAAATTATCAACAAGAGAAAACTTCAACTGGTTTGTATTTTATTTATATTATAATAAGATAGCTTGATTTTGGTTTTATTTGTCCTCCTCGCTTTATCAAGGAGGTCTTCTGGCTGTATTCAGGAGGTCTTCTGGCTGTATTCAGGAAGTGTTTAACTTCTTGCTGTAATCAGGGGGTCTTTATCTGGCTGTATTATTAAGCTTAATAATTAATTAATACACATTAATTTGACACATATCATGTGATTGCATACAGACCTATTTTTCTGTATTCACCTCTTGAAAATCTGTTAGAATTTACAATATTTTTATTCCTAATTTCAGCAAAAAGTATCAGAAGAAGAATTAAAGGAGAGACGTAATCTAGATTTCCTGGATATCTTATTGACAGCTAAAGATGAAAATGGTGAAGGTTTGTCTGATATAGAAATAAGAGATGAAGTTGATACTTTCTTATTTGAAGGTTAGTTACAGAGTTTTACAACTGAAGGTTAGAGAGTTTAAAGTAGAGGTCGTTATAGGGTTAAAGCAGAACAGAAGACAGCTATTTGTAACTCTATGATATCTTTTTCTACAAAATCTCCATTCTATAAGTGTCTGGAAGACAGAGAGAGAAATATACCTGGTCATTTTGGGGCAATAATTGGAAACCCAGAGAAAACACATGAGGTTGAAACCAACAAGGGTTGGTGAGGGTTTCTACTGGTAGCTTAGTGGGTAAGGTGCTGGCTCGCTAGCCTGGAGGTCAGGTGTTCCATCCCTGCATTGGCCGAGAAACTTCATTCCGATTTTCCGACGTGGTTTACCCTTGTCAGTGTTGCAGGAAAGGATCGCCTAACAAGGACAGCTGTCTAGTCATTCAGATGTGACGAAAAACCGAGGTGCAGTGTATACATTGGCATGGACAATGTATGGTGTATGCCCGTTTGGATTAGCCCAGTCAGAGAAGGATGTACTCTGTATTATGATTCCGATGTTACAACACTTGTCATATTTCTAGGTCATGATACGACAGCATCAGCTATTAGTTGGTGTTTTTATGCATTGGCCCGGTACCCAAAAATACAGGAGAAAGTTTATGCTGATGTTTCTAGAGTTTTAGATGTTTCTGCTGATCTTCAATGGTAAGTTACTTAAATTACCTCCCTTTAGTAATCTTTTAATGAAATTTACAATATTCTTTTTAACATTCTACCTGTCTGTTTCAACATTCTACCTGTCCGTTTAAATATTTTACCTGTCTGTTCTAACATTCTATCCACCTGTTTTAAAATATTCAGTATTATTGGTATTGTATGTTGTTAATCTATCTATGATATGTATTAATGTATATTCTACAGGAAAGATCTGGCAGAGTTCACGTTTTTACCACTGTTTATTAAAGAAACGTTGAGATATTTTTCACCTGTACCGACCATCAGTCGACAGGTCAAGGATCCAATCGTAATCGACAATGTCAGGATACCAAAAGACACGATCATCGATATACACATGGTTCATATTCATCATAATCCTAATATATGGACAGATCCCCAGGTAAGATATTCACCATGGCCCTAATATACTATTCAAAAAAAGTAGGGGATATTTGATTTTGGGGGCATAATACTAAAATATGCAAATGACTACGAAAAAAGTCACTATAGAACCTAACAGAAGAAACATTTCCAGTTACATGTGACGCCCAAACGCACCAATAGCTACCGCATGGAATGCAGGTGATGCTTGGGATCATCATGGGGGTCCAACCCAAGATTTGCACGACTCTGACTTTGAATGTTACAGTCATTGTGGCATTGAATTCCAGGGTGGAAAGATCAGTTTAATTGTTTTAGTGACCAGAAAACAAATTTTGATATGCGTCGGCTTACCCAAAATGAAGGGTTACGTGCCCTTGGCATGCTACAGATCGGCACAACACAGGCGGTTGTGGCGCGGACGATGAATGTTTCTCAGTCTGTCATAAGCAGGCTATGGTCCAGATACCGTGATACACAATCTGTACAGGACAGACCACGCTCAGGTCGACCAAGGGCGACAACTCAAGCCCAGGATCGATTTATCCGTACCTTGGCCTTGAGAAATCGTGTCATCACAGCAAATCAGATCAGCGCTCGTCTTCAAACAGACACTGGTGTGAGAGTGAGTGGCCAGACGATTCGGAATCGACTGCATAGGGGTCACCTTCGCGCCCGACGTCCTCGCGTGATCCCTTGTTTGAGAGATCATCACATTCAGGCAAGACGTCGTTGGTGTAGGGATCGTCAACACTGGGATAATCGACGCTGGAGCAATGTGATGTTTTCAGATGAGTCAAGGTTCACTGTTGATTTTTTGGACAGACGTAGGAGGGTGTGGCGTCGTCGAAACGAGCGCTTCCAAGACGTTAACGTCATCAGACATGATCGATTTGGGGGTGGTTCTGTTATGGTGTGGGGAGGCATCACTGTTGCTGGAAGAAAGGCTTTACATGTTGTTGCAGGGCGTGTTACAGGCCAGTACTACCGGGACAACATCTTGGCAGTCCATGTTGTGCCGTTCCCACGACGTCATGGCCGCCGTTTCATCTTCCAGGATGACAACGCAAGATGTCACAGGGCCAGGATCGTTACAGGTTACCTCCAACAACAGAACATCACCACATTACCTTGGCCAGCACTGAGTCCCGACCTCTCCCCCATCAAGCATGTCTGGGACATGCTTGGACAGAGGTTACGTCAACGTCAACAACGTCCTGCCAATGTCCAAGAACTTGCTGCTGCGTTGCAACAGGAATGGGACAATCTGGACCAAAATGACCTTAGACGTCTCATTAGGAGTATGCCACGTCGGATCAATGCTTGTTTGGCAAACAGAGGAGGATTTACCCGTTACTGACTTGGTTGTGATGCTGTGGTAACTTTGCTGTTTGACCCCGGGTATCATTTTACCCTTATAATGGTCAGTCTGTGCCTTACTTAGTCTAACGATCATTTGGAATAAATCGATGAATGTGAACTTCATTTCATTTTGTCATTTGTTTCTTCGTCAGTTTCATTAGGTGACTTTAATAACACTTAAAAATCAAATATCCCCTACTTTTTTTGAATAGTATATATGGTCTGATCCCCAGGTAAGAATATATGGTCTGATCCCCAGGTAAGGATATTCACCATAGCCCTAATATATGGTTGTGTGGATAGGATGAAGAAACAATGTCTTATGTAAACTATGGCATTTGTATGGAATGAAAAACCTAGGTGCCATTTACACTATGGCATTTGCATGGAATGAAAAACCCAGGTGCCATTTACACTATGGCATTTATATGGATTGAAAAACCCAGGTGCCATTTACACTATGGCGTTTATATGGGATGAAAAACCCAGGTGCCATTTACACTATGGCATTTATATGGATTGAAAAACCTAGGTGCCATTTACACTATGGATTGCACATTACGAGTAGGCCACATTGCCTTTCCTTCTCACTTCATGGTGTATACATGTCTTCATAACACCTGTTGGAAGACCTTGGTTTTCCGTGCAATCCGAAGAACAACTTGAAAATTCCAGATGTTTTTCTCTTCAGTTACTTGTAACTGAAAGGAGCTAACTCGCTAATATTTGGGACCTAGAAATTGGCACAAATGGGTCACAATGCATATAATAATGTAATATGAATGTATAAACTGATTTACATTCAATCGTATCCATTTTTACTCTGATTTCAAATCTGTTATGTTCGGCGAAATACGCCATATCTCTCAATCGAATGGCAACCTCTAGCATCTGACTATTCCAGTCTATAACTATAGTATTTATTGCGCATGCTCTCCAGATAATAATATGGCGTCACCGTTTGACATGACTTGTGGAATATGTCTAGCCTCGTTCTTCGAGTCCCTTGTTACAAATGGAGCTGAAACGCAATATTATACTTGATTCCTGTATCGATGGTGAAATGTTTATTTTGTCTTAAATATTGGATATCAGAAGCCCATCTTTTCCCGGTAAGATCACAACATCAATGCTGATTTAAATTGACAAATAATTCGTGTTTTCAATGTCGAAGACTTTAGATGATATTGAGTTAGATACTTAGCTACTTTAAAAAAAAGAGGAAATGAGCCAAACTAGGAAAATTGTATCAAAATAATTTTTGAACTGTTATAGCAAGAATGGCCAACTGTATTTTTAAGAGAGAAAAGCCTGAATATAAATCTGATTATAAAGATTTTACCCAAGATTTACTGTATATATGACATTAGGTTTATTTATATAGTCTATAGGCCTACAGGATTCTGACTTTTCAATCCAGGGATTCAAAATTACACAAATAACATCAGTGGTTCTTAGGGTTAGGTTTAAGAATTTGGGGGAGAGGTTAAGTCTCCACATAAGCACTGACCTAGGATGATGAAAAATTAGTTCGTGATATTTCCTAGTTCTATTAAAAATACATACAATACATTAGATTTATATACAAAGGCGATTTCACTGTTTATTGGTGTTGGTGGCGCTGATGGTCTTCCTTGGGTGGTGCTTCTGGTATTCTGGTATTATTGTTTCTGAAGAAAAAAGAAAATAAATTTGAGGCTCTCGGGAGAGAGCCACATTAGTGTGTTCCTTACTACGGATTGGATTTTCTAAAAAATTGTGTTTGTTCCACATCACCGGGTTAGGGCTAGGGATTCTTATATCTAATTGATTTTATTTACTAACGGTTAGGGATAGGATTTGATATATGGTTTGTTTTGGGTCAGGGTGGAGACTGGTCTTATTTAATCTAATTTACTGTGCACTAGAATGTCGTTCAGATTTTTATTTTTAGAATATGCAATTATAAGTTTCTGTGTGAATATTTTCGGGTGATTTTCTTGGAGATCAGTATAGTGTTTTCTGATGATTTTGGATGCACTTGCTGCTGTTGCGCTAAATGGAACTACAAAAGGAGCTATTGCTCTAGCCGTATGAATATTCAAACCTAGGGGGGCTGTTGTTTTCAATTTGTCAATCCAGAATTTTTCTCTAGTTAGCCTAAACGTTTTAATTTCTTCTGAAGTTTCAAAGTCGCTCTTGGTCTTTTCTATTGGCGTGACAATGAGATCAGAAATGTCATGATTCGGTTGGTTGAAATGAATTGAAACAGGTTTGTCTTTTTTGGTGACTATGTCTGATCGGTGACCGTTAATTCTTTCCCTAAGTGCATTTTGAGTCTCCCCTACGCATTGCTTGTCACATTTTCTGCATGAAATTAGATAAATTATGTTTGAACTACTGCATGAAAGTTGGTCTAATATTGGGAATTTTGTGCCAGATGTTTTGTTATGGAAATGGTCGGATATGTTTAAGATTTTGCATGTTTGACATCTTGGATGGCCACAAATTTTGGTTTTAACTGCTGATTGTATATTATTTGTTTCTTTGGCGGCAAGCTCAGCGAGAGTGTTGTTTTTTATACGTCGTAGATAGCGTTTGGAGTATCCCCTTTCCCTTAGTTTGCTAAATACCAATGTACATTGACTTGTTATCCTGCTCCCAGAGTTGACTGAGAAAGATTCCTGTTTATATATCACATGTTTATATATCACATGTTTATATTATATTGATTAGGAATTTAAACCAGAAAGATTTACCACAGAGGCCATTGATAGTCGAGATCCATATGCATTTGTTCCATTTTCTGCTGGACCAAGGTAAGTGTAAAAAACCCAATAAAGATTGGGAGGACTTACTGTTAAATTTGTGAGCCAGTAGCATAACACATGTATTTACAGATCAAGGATTGACCCAGAACAGTCAGATTTCATCGGCTACTTTATTTTCGGTGTGCATTAATCGGAAAGGATACATATTGAGCATGGTTATAACGTGAAAGGATACATATCGCGATTGTTACATTATAACGTGGATGTATAACCTGTTTTCTGTAAAAACCTCTCCCACCACTCCTTGCATTCTACATGTAATCAGGGAAATAAAACTCTCCCACCCCTCATTGCATGTTACATGTTAGTAATCAGAGAAATAACCAATAATTCGCTTGCATGTAGGGTCTTTAGCAGTGGAAGGAACCTGGAGATTGGATAAGCAACCAGACTTTAGCAGTGGAAGGAACCTGGAGATTGGATAAGCAACCAGACTTTAGCAGTGGAAGGAACCTGGAGATTGGATAGGCAACCAGACTTTAGCAGTGGAAGGAACCTGGAGATTGGATAGGCAACCAGACTTTAGCAGTGGAAGGAACCTGGAGATTGGATAGGCAACCAGACTTTTTGTCAGTTACAAGCGGCAGACCTGATGATCGAAAATGTCATCCAGATGGAATGGAAAACAAATTTCATCTATAGGTTATAAAAAAACCTTTAGTCTGCTAGAATTTGAAGGATTGTTCAATATTTCCCCCATAACACACTATATGGTGTATGACTGTCTATATTAGGCCAGTTCGTGCAGGTAGACATTTGATATCTGTTATTAATAACTTGTTTTATTTGCTACAGAAATTGTATTGGTCAGAATTTTGCCATGAATGAGATTAAGACTGTGATTAGTCGAGTCATACACAGGTGAGTACAGATTATTTCACAATTTATAAAATGAATTTGCTGGTCACATGACCCAAAGTTGGGCATACAGATCAAAAACATAGCTAGCTTAATTGGTTATACCAAATATATAAATTAATAGGTTGAGTCGATGTAAACGTCACTGAGAAAATCGTACACACATGGGTAGATGATTTCAATGAAACATTGTGTATATATGAAATGTTGAAGATTTGTTGTGGTTCATTGACGATCATTTGTTGGACAGAGTAAGCTGTTCTATTCTACAAGTTTATTGAACAGAGAAATAACAATAATGTTGCTTTAATAAGACACTGTTACCGACAACATTCGCTTACATTTTGCAAGAGATGGACAGAGAAATGAGAAAATCAGTAGAGCTCATCCTTTCATTGTCCTTATGCTTCACATGAACTTTGAAACAAATCTGTTACATTTGTTTTGTGTTGTTGTAGATTTTGTGTAGAATATGATGTTTTTGTTTTGTTTTTAGATTCCGTGTAGAATACGATGAGACGAGAATACCTGAAACGATACCTGAATTAGTAACACGAGCTAAAGATGGGTTATTTTTACGATTTATACCCAGAATGCTTGAAGAATAAATACAGGAAGTAGAAGCTATAGCCAGCATATAAACCAGTTCTTATTCTCCAACTTACACTATTTTGCCTACACCGGGGTGGGTTTTTTTTTTGTTTTTTTTTGTTTTTTTAGGACTTCGAATTTTGTCTAATGGTTTGGATTGTTCGTACTTGGTTTTATTTTTTATTTATAGCCAAGTATATAATATACCTCATGTAGCCAGGTATATACCCCATGTAGCCAGGTATATATCTCATGTAGCCAGGTATATATATACCTTAGGCAGCCAGGTACCCCATGTAGCCAGGTATATACCTCATGTTAAATAAAGACTACAATGAATAGACTGAATTTTGCATTTAAACTCTTTGTAATAAATATTTATCGGTTATAATAAATGTTTATCGGTTATAATAAATATTTATCGGTTATAATAAATGTTTATCGGTTGTAATAAAATGCTATGATTGTTATCATTAGAAAGATAATTGAGCACTGAATTGGTTGATTTTAATAATTTTTTATTTTTCAAATATTAGATGTGCAGCACCAACATTGTTAATTGTGTTTAGCAACAATTGCTGGATTGTGCTATTTGTAATAATTCAAGTGGGTGGGGGTATGTTCACCTCGATTTTATTATTATTTACAAACAGAAACATTTTCTTGAAGTGGTAAAACATAAACCATTTAGAAATATAAGCAATGGATGGCTAGAAAGGCCTTTGAACCTTTGTCTGCCATCCAACCTTGTGGGTTTTCTCCGGGTCCGCCGGTTTCCTCCCACTGCTAAAGACCCCTACGCGCAAGCGAATTATGTAAATAAAATTAAACCATATGTTAGTCCCGAAATGACCTAGTTTGGTCAAGTGGACGTTAAACCCCATTTCTCTCTCCCTCTCTTTGTCTGCCATGTTATATATTGTAATGTAATATTATAGTTTAGTCTTGTATTGTTATATTATAGTTAGTCTTGTATTAATATTATATCAATATACTAACATATATTATATATACCATAATAATTTTCATTACCATAATAATGTGATAACCAACATATTGTGATAATAATTTTCATTTCTGCAAATATCTCATTTACATCTATAATTGCTAAAATCACCTGAATTTGATCAAACCTCTGTTGATGAGAGCAGGAATTATTTACCAGATTGTTGTTTTATAAAACTTTCAGAACGATCACCTATAAATAAATACATCCTTGTTATTACTTCACATCATATTTCCAACTATTTGTCAAATTGTCGTAACTCGGTACACAAAAATATGACGGTGGATTTCTTTAAATGGACTGTATGAGATTTTTTCCTGGTTGATACATCGAACCGTAAATGATCAATCTTGTATCTTTAAATGGACTGTATGAGATGTTTTTCCTGGTTGATACATCGAACCGTCAATGATGAATCTTGTATCCTGGTTGATACATCGAACCGTCAATGATCAATCTTGTATCCTGGTTGATACAACGAACCGTCAATGATCAATCTTGTATCTATAAATGGACTGTATGATCAATCTTGTATCCTGGTTGATACATCGAACCGTCAATGATCAATCTTGTATCTTTAAATGGACTGTATGAGATTTTATCTTGTATCTTTTATAGAAAAACAGTTACAAAGTTTTTAATCTCTCCTGTAATCAACTCTCTAGACCATCTCTCCTGTAAAGTTAGGAAAAAAACGAGATACGACCTTTTGCAACTTCACCGACGATAGGCAATACGATCTATGCTCTTTGAGGGGTGGGATCTATGCTCATTGTGGGGTGGGATTATGGATGACACCCTAGATTTGGAACCGCAACCACCCTATTCACCGCTTCTAGATCCGCTACTGGCCTTACCTTAACATCCTATCAATGTATAACAGTAAATGTGATACAAACTATAACATTGTATAGCCCAGCTTATTTTAGCAAAAGTTGCTCAGTTAATGAAAAAACACCCTCATGTGTCTTAGAAGTCATACAGATGGCATGACCCTTAATTCTATGAAGATCAAATTGGTAAATAATTTCTTGCGCATCTTTATTCGTGTCTTACTTCACTCATCTTTCAGGCCTAGGTTTTTGGGGTAGGGACTCCAGAACATGAACCTACCAAATATGCCTTTAAGTGATGAAGAAGTGCAGAGTAAATTTGGGTTCTCGTCAACATGTTTTGGGGTAGCGGATTCGCGAAAATAGTATAAGGAACCATACCACCGGGCATATCTTCAAAGGAAATAATGGGCCCAAAAACATTAATTTTGAGACTAAAATTGCTATTTTATGATAAAACAATGCAGAGTTATGCCCCTTTATAAATTTGGATTCTGGGCAGCATGTTTCTCGGGTAATGAAATCCCCGAAAATAGTCCAAAAGAGCACTGTCCACCTACCAAAACCATGCCAAATAAAAGTTTGACCCCGACAATCTAATGTATGGCGTCTGTTTCATGTGTTTCTCTTAATAATTAACGACCTTTTGTTTGTCTGAAGTTGTACCTTTTTAAGGAAAATGGTTCAAATCCCGAACTTTACCCTCAAAATTTGGGACTTTACGGTACTCCAATTTTGCTAAACTTTTAGGATGTCAAAAACCATCCAAAACACTTTTCTTGCAATTTTTGGGGGGTTAACCCCCTTTTTTTCATAAATTGACTGGACTAATAATCCGAGGTTAGTTGTTAATGGAGACAAGAGGAGGTCGGGGAGCCGCAACAAGATTTCCATCATAGCACACTGTATGACGTCATCATTAGCCAAGTTGGTACAACAAATATGTAGGCCGGAGTGCTGCGGCAAGATTTCCCACATAGCACAATTAATGACGTCATCATTAGCCCAGTTGGTGTAGAAAATCAGGGCTCAAGACACATTCCATTTTATTTCAACTGCTAGATGCATTTCCTCAACAGCTAGATGCATTTCAACAAAATTTTATAGTATGTTAATATATTTTGGTGTGTGTGTGTGTGTGTGTGGGGGGGGGGGGTTATTCAAATACCAAATAGCCTGTTGTATGACACAGAAGTAATAAGAGGTAATAAGAGGGTTTTTTATTTACTAGGAAGGTATCCTTTCTTTAAGTCATTTTACTTGACTAATGGACAACGATGATATGAACTTTTAAGAAACAATAATAAATCGTTATTCTAGTTCGAAAAGGAAAAAGATTGTTTCATGGCATAAGTAAAAAGAGTATGTTTTTACTGCTGAGGCATCCTTCTTACACGTCAGTTAAATAAAGAAATGAAGCTTACTTGACAAATGGAAAATAAGAAGGCCTAATCATTTCATTTGAATACCGTCTCGTTATTCGTTATTCGTTATTTGTTAATCAAGCTCGAAAAGCAATATACGTGGACTGGGGCCTGCAACCGGAAATGGAAATACTTCCTAATGTTTACAAATGAAATGAAATGAAATGAAATGGAGTTTAACGTCCTACTGTTCTGCTCCTAACCTGGGCTAATGAAGACGGGCATACGCCATACAGTGTGCTATGAGGGAAATTTTGCCCGGACAGCGGCACTACGGCTTACTCTTATATCGAATTCCAACTGCCAAGGGATCTTTTACGTGACGCCAATGTGTACACGGGACCTCGGTTTTTCGTCCCATCCGAACGACTAGACAGCTTTCCTTGTCAGTCCCTCCGTCCTGCATCACTGACAAGGGAGAACCACGCCGGAAAATCCGGATGAACTTTCTCGGCCAATGCAGGGATCAAACACCCGACCTCCAGGCTAGCGAGCTATCTTCTTACCCACTTAGCCACGTGATCCCCCCTAATGTTTACTACTCGTGGCGCAAATGAAAGGAATTTATTAAAGCAATAATTATATTTTATTTATTGCTTTATTGGCAATGTTGCTACGTTGCATACTGTAATCAAATTTTGTACAAAAGGTGGAGTAACTCACCAGGAAACAGAATGGGGAAATAGAATTTATTTATTTAAGTTATGGATATGTTTAATTCATTGATTTATTCGCTTGGCTGCCATGTTGCATATCCTAATCAAATTTTATACATACGTCTAGCACGGAGAACATTGCTTGCATCTCTGAACAAAGGTCGGACAGGCGACGGGCCCTGTAGCCCGGCTGAAAGTGAAACCTAAATGTACCTACCATACATGACACGCGGAGCCTCTCCTTTGAATAAAATTGGGTGCTTCCCTACAAAGTCATCGTGTCTTACCCAAAAAGCTGGATCAAGCCTATTTTGTGGCTTCCTCTAGCAAGTTTGTTAGGAAACACTTGGTGGAAGTGGACGTAAGACTCTAGGAACGAACGAAGGTTAAGGGGGGTGGGGTGGACCTGGCTACAAGCGTGTCACTTGGAGATCACATTAGATCAGATTCCTAAGGACAGACGGTCTTTACCTGTATTCGGATATTTGGAGACACAAGTTTATGTCAATTTCCATATCCACATTGGAGCTTATCTACTATTAAGCGTTGAACAAATATTTGATACATTAAAAGAGTCATTATGGAAGACTACACGAAAAGCTGGCAGTTCTGTCTATAATAGTTAAAAACTAGATAATGTAAAGAGAATATGCTGAAAATTTCAGCCTCGTACGATAAAAAACAGTTTCGATTATCCATTTTTGGATTTAATCATCAATGAGCTTTCAGTAGCAGATCGGAATCCAATCTAGTGAAAATCCAATACAAAAGATGGCATCCAGAGTTTATTAAGGTCTTTCCATGTTAATAAATGTCTAATTAATAGTTTATATAACACTTCAGGCCTAAAGAAAGACCTGCAATAGGCAGATTTAGCTCTTGCATAAAGTTACCTCTTAAGTAAACATTGCAAAGTGTCTAGTTACGAATAATATATCCCGAAAACGGTTTTAATAAATCTTTGACTGATTTTCTACTGTTTTATGTATTTCAAGTATGTGTTTGGATAAAGGATGAAGTTTGAAAATAGTGTGATGGTCATTTGAGCAGACTTTTTTGAAAATATTTGTCAATAAAGATTTGAGTTGAGGAAGATCATTGAGCACAAAAATGAAAACGTGTACACTGTGATATTTATACGCAGTTATTCGCCTTACTAAAACAGAGGGGTATTATTGTCTAATCGACAGTCTATAATTAACCAATCAAAACGCAAGATTCACCCCCAAGCATGTATGATTATTACAATGACATCATTATTAATGTGACGTCATAATGTATGTTTAATTGTCTGCTGTAATTTATGTTCACGAAAATACACAAGAATTGCACTTATACAAATTTTCCTATCATATGTATAGTGGTTCACAGCCTCAAGTGTGTTGCTAATAACAATCTAACCTTCTCTTGTCAGCATGATCCACCACTGAACAGAATTCTCGAATGAGAACTATTCAGTACCGGTTGGCACAAAATAGATATCCACGTGACAATATGCATTCGCTTGTTTTTCAATAAGCCAGGAAAACATTTTCTTCTTTACGCGTTTGACTTTTAAAAATACGTAGTAATCTATTTGATTAAAACTTTGGCTGAAACTCGGCGATTTTATTTCTGCATGATTTACTTGACTGTAACCAATGACGTATATATTGTAACGGTTCTCGGTTCAGAGTCGCCTCATGTGGTTTCGTTCTTTTTCTATCTTTTAAACTGTCGCGGCAAAGTATCGGCACCGAAAGAATATGCAATTTACTTTTATTTAACCGTAAAATCGTGTGGTTAGTAAGTTTAAAAGTTAGGTTGTTGACTGAACGAAATGTATTTCTGTAGTCTTAATTAACCAGACTTGTCTGGTTAAAATAAACTTAGGTACCGGTTACAGGACTCGAATTCTAATCTTTTTAGGGCGTGTGATGTATGCTCTGTTTGGATGTGTATTTGTTTTATAATTGTCTGTGATGATTATTGGAAACATAATAAAAAGGAATGTTACAAAGGCCCCTACTTTCTACATATTGCTGGTATATGGTCAACCACCGATTCCTCCGTAATTAGAACGTTTTAATTATGGTCTTCTCTCTTTACTAATAGAGTTATGTAATATTATTTTATGTACAGTAAGATTAGCTATATATAAAAGAATGTTAACCTTAAAAGATAGATGTATTATAGACATTAAACCGCCATTTAAAAGATTGTCAATAGATAATATCTATTACAAAAAGAATAAGAGTGCTAAAGATTTTATTTTAAAATGTATTAAGCCTTCCTTCTTTATTAAACTTTGATTAAATGATGAGATAAGCATTGGGTTTTAACTTTAAGAAAAAAGAAAAAAAAGATTTCTAGGTACATACACACTTTTAACCAATTGACGATATACTTGTTGTTATAGATGAATGTAAATGTATCGTGATGTAAATACCTGATGATGCTATATTTAAATTCTGTGAATAAACATTAACAAGAAAAATAAAACAGTGATGTCAGTGGAGATATAAATTGTGGTCTGCACCCGTTAGTCCGGAAATGATTATCTCCCTTTGTATAAGAATGGACTGACTACGACTAATAATTATTTCCTCTTTAAATATTTCACGAATGTAGTGCGAGTTATAAATAGACAATTTTCCCTTTATTTTTTTCTCCCCTCTTCCTGCATTTTTTAGTTGACATTTTGGTCTAGAATTGGAGAAAAGGGATTAAATTTGCAATTCCATAGCAGTTTTGGGTAATACTGATCATATTACAGCGGAGGGATAGGGGGTGTATAGTGTCTTTCTGCAGAGCAATCATTGTGTCGGAAGTGAGATTTTCACCCCATCAACATCAAATCCCCGTAGCAGGAAATCTAACAGGTCAACCCCCCTACAAAATTATGATGAGGAGATTGCCAAATGTGGTCCCCATTGTGCCTATAATGATTGAAACCAACGGAATGTTGAGCAAAAAGGTACAGCCTGTGATGTAACAGCCATTTAACATTGAAGTCAATGGGCAAATAATTGCTAGCCTGAGTCCGAATGTAATTGTGTTTGTCTCCCTTCTATCACACCCCTCCTGTTCCCATAGCGACAATCAAGTAATGGGTACATTTCTTTGATCATCTCAAATTAAAGGGTGTATGGCTCTGTCAAATAAAGCGGTGGTGGTTTACGTCTGCTTAGTCCATTCTACATAGTAAGGGAGCTAGATTCAGGTTGTTTCGAAAATCGCGTACAAAATTTCTACTATGCTAGATGAGTGGACAGTGGTGCTCGATACTCTGAACCTTGATTCTTATGTTGCGGGTCCCCTTCCCATTTTCCGACAAAACGTCGAACTTTCGAGTTTTATTCGACTTCCAACAAACAACTTCAGATGTGGCCAGAATTCTTAAAAAAATTCCCGACCCTTCCTCACTCCTTGTATTCATGTGCAGGAATAGCGAGAAAACGCATTTGAGGGCCGTCAAATTTCCCAAAATTATCTTGTGGTGCGGGGGTTGGGGGGGGGGGGGCTATACGGTAAGTCACGCTCCTTCTCTTCTCGTAGACGACCGGAGTCACCGTTTGTAACCCGGAATTCGTTGGGGCATTTCAGATTCTGCCACACACCCCCCCCCCCCTCAACGTTGCAACGTGAGGTAAACAAAATAAACAACAAACAGACAATAAACTATTTATTTTTCAATGTTGGTTACATTTTAATATCTTGTACTTGTTGGTTTATCTGGGTTTTTATGAAGAAGTACAGATGAATTTATTGTATTTCTTGGTTTAGATGAATATAATTTATAAAGAAAGAACAAAATAGCATTTAATTATTTTAAAGAAGTAGTTAAATATAACAATATAGTTTATTATGTTAAATCTTATAACAGGTTTTAAATATTACAATATAGTTTATTATGTTAAATCTTATAATAGGTTTTAAATATTACAATATAGTTTATTGACCCTTATATACCAGTGGTTGATCAATCACGGCTCACAATATGATTCTCCACATTTAGGTTCTGAAATACAACAAATTATTTATATAATACAAGCAACCATATGTCTAGTAATAGCGAAAGGTCAGGTCAGAAAATGAAATTTTATAAGAAAATAAGATTTTTGGAAAAAACAGTGGGTTAGTTTTACAGGTTGTTTACATGTGTTTGACTCATTTATTGTTTTATTTAATAGCTAGACACCCGTAATTGTCCAGTAGATTGTTAGATAGCGAGACTTAAGAGGAGATAATGCAAGTATATTCTCCTATATTAAAGGATATGAAATTGGCGTTTATAGGAGATACTCATACAAATGTGTTTAATAAATTTGCGTGACTTAAATGACAATATTGGTGTCAGTCATTAACACATATGTGATAGAACTGTTTGAATACATTCCAATTATTATTTTATCACAGAGATCATTGCTACGATAGATGCATAATAAAGATATCAGCAATTTGAAGTGACGAACGCAAAAGGAAAACACGAGTTGTCCCTCTATATAACTGACTGAAGTAACGAGTGATAACAGATACACGGGCTAATTTCTGCTCTCTAATAATTCCTTCGAAGACCAAAAGTTGTTATATGAGACTGCAAGAAGATATCTGACAATTCAATAAATTAATTGAGTGTCATTAGATAAGAGAACACGAGAAAAATAGAAATAGTCCGTACATTCCCTTGTTTTTATTCATTCTCTACCTTATAAAAACCATGGTAATGCACGGACTTTTTCTGTATTAAAGGAGCTAAACCTGTAACTCAATATTTTCCAATCTATTCTAAATTAAAAGACACGAATTTATATCAAGTACTCGAGTGTTGTGTTTTATTTAAATAAAGATACACTAGTTAACAGTTTATATATTTATTTCTATATTCATAAATCTTATCTATATTCTATATTGATATATATAGTTAAGAGTTTATATATTTATTTCTATATTTATAAATCCTATCTATAGTCTATATTGATATGTTTATTTCTATATTTATAAATCCTATCTATAGTCTATATTGATAGTTAACAGTTTATATATTTATCCACTGTGTAATGTTATGTTTATTGTAAAACGTATCTGAACATGTTTATCATGAAAGGAGCGCTATATAAAATATATGTAATAATAATAATAATACAATAAAGAGTTGACCATTCTAGCTATAATAATTCAAAAATAAATGATAAAAAACAAAAATAATGACAATTTCAGTCAAATTACTTTATTCTGAACGACGTTATCACGTTATACACACTGGGTCATATTGGTGGTCGATATACAAATCAGGTCATATTGATGTTTATATATATAAAAAACAGGTCATATTGATAGGTGATTATAAATATAATAGTAAATATTTACCTGCACAGAATCCATCAATACATGGCAAACCATCTTCACAAACCTTGTTTTCATCACATGATTCTATAAATATAAGTAATACAGTGCTTGGACTAGGTGGAAATTAGCCATTTTTCCTCAAATTTAGGAATGCGACCCCCACAGACAATACAGTTCTGTTGAAGAGAATCGTGTCATCAACTTGTCAAAGACAATATGTTGTAGCCTAATTATCTGATACATATGATGTGGTGTTTAGGGCATGCTAAGTATCATATTACACTGCTCTATATTTAGATGGGTTTGGATCAGTTTCTATATGAGACAATTCACATTCAAATTAAATGTAGAAAAAAAAAATTAAAATAAAAAATTAATAAATAAAAATAACATTTGATTCAAATATTACATAAAGTTATACTAAGATTTTTATATTTTAAATTTGATGTAATAGAAGAAACTTAATTGCATAAAAAAATTACTAGGTTATGTGCATATACAAATAAAAATAATAGAAAGATACATGCAGTAAGCAAAGATATATATACATGTACATAATTATACAGATACACAAGACATGAACAAATTGTATACAAAAGCTCCCAAACATTCTAAAATGTCCACATCTTTATTGATCATCAGTATCTTAAATTGTTGAGAGCCACGGTTGCTAAGTGGGTAAGACACTGGCTCGCTAGCCCGGAGGTCGTATATTCGATCCCTACATTGGTCGAGAAAGTTCGTTGGGATTTTCCGGCCTGGCTTCCCCTTGTCAGTGGTGCCGGATGGAAGGACTGACAAGGACAGTCGTCCAGTCGTTCGGATGGTACCAAAACCGACTGCCAGGGTATACATTAGCGTGCACGTAAAAGATCCCTTGGCAGTAGGAATTCGATATAAGAGTAAGCCATGGTACAGCTGCCTGGCCAAAATTTCTCTCATAGCACACTGTATGGCATATGTCCGTCTTCATAATCCAGCAAGTTACGGTCTGAAGTATCAACATTAGGAACCCAGATCTTTGGGATATAAATATATAACTGGATGAACATTGTGACCTCTAGAGGATCCACAAGCTAAAAACGAGACCCGGTCTGGTACATGCTAATATCCAAAGAAACCAAGATCTTTGGGAGATATGCCCATATTTCAAGTTCTGTCAACATCGGATAACAATTGTGACCTGTTGAGTGTCCACAAACAAATTATGACCGGACAAATGGACAGTGGCAACAGCAGTATACATCCACAAGAACATGTCGTATAAAAATCAGGACCGGATGAAATGAGCCCTCTCAAATCAAAATAACAGCTCTGGTCTGGTGTCTGTGTTCTTCCTTGAATAAAAAGAATATGTTATGTATTGGGTTGGTTAGAATATTGGTTATATGACAGTCTCCATATGTAACAGTGTTAAGCTGTTATCTATCAACTTCAACTTCATCATTAAGTTAATTCACCATATTTAAAATGACAGTTTAAGAAATGTTACTTTAATTTTCAAATGAAATCAAATGAAATGCGCAATTTAAATTTTATCTAGTTAAGTATTTGCAAATTCTGTAAGAAAATACACACTACTACAGTACATGTACTTTGTCTCTAGTTTAAACATGCAAAGCCTTATCCAATTAAACTAAATAATACATATGTTCTGTTTTCAGAAAGATTATAATTATAAATAGCTCACCTTTATTGAAAGATGTCAATTCTTTACATCCACTACCATTCTTTTTAATGATAAAACTTAGTTTTTGGAATAAATAAACAACCGATTCCCCAGAAATGATACCGATTATAATAAATGATGTCATTTGATACCCCCAATAGCAGGCAGGTTTTATAGTTGTCAACATATAAGGGTAATAATGCTATCAAGTCGGACATGTTGTTTAGATTAGCATACCAGCCAATTTAATGTCAGTGAACTGGACACAACAAAAACATCCAAAATTTAGCCCCTTTTCTGGAGCTGGTCTATACACTGAATATATCAATACATAGATATAGTTCAGATAAAGAGTCTGTCAACATCAATAATTAGGTCCTATTGGTCCCATATTAACTACGTGTATTGATGGCCTTTTAATGAAAAAGCATTGCGTTAGATCACTCAACCCCCTGTAGATTGTACAATATTTAGATTAAAAACGATTCTATTCTATAATATTTATCATTGACTTTACAGTGTTAGTTTCAACTGACAGATAATATTTGATATATCTGAATTTCAGCTCTGAATTCGTTCAACGCTTGTATAACTTGGGGGTGTCTAGGCTATCAGGATGGTGATCATATCCCTGACAGTGGTATTCATTTATCCAATAGAAATTAGTTAGATTTACAGATTTCTTATCATAGTATCTTTAAAATAAATAAATAACTTGAGTTGGTATAAATATATATAAATATATATAAATACATCGGGTTTATGTAAATGACCCACTGTCTATAATATAAATCATAATTACCTAGACAAACACCACCTGAACAAGTGCCACTATTGATGTTGATGACGGTACAAGCTGTATCATCAATCTGCTCATCACATTTATCTACAACTAAAGATAATTTACAATATACAGGTGTTATCAGGTGTTCCTCTTGTTAAGGTATTAAAGTATATCCTTATAAGTGCATCTGATTGATCAAGTAGAACAGTATTAATTATAAAAAGTTGCGTTATGAATAACACATATATATCTATGTTATACTTACTCCTGCATGTGTCATTTACACATTTAGTACCTTTATAAGTAGCACTACAGAATGTACCTTCCCCACATGGTGAACCTGAAACAATTGAAGTATTAGAGCGATGGATTCTACTACAATGTATTTCTGATTTATTTACAGTTTCTCTCACCCAGACCAAAACATGAACATAGAGAAATCAATAATCAGTGTATATCATCATTCATTTGATCATATAATTCCTAACATGCCGGCTTGAACTGATTATATGAATGTAGCAACCCAAATAAATTGTCAAATTATATAATGATGCCAACATGAATGTAGCCCAATTAAATATTGTCAAATTATATTGTAAGTTAGTAAAACAAGCAACATACCAATAGCTGTACATGAGTTAAACACGCCTGGATTTATTGAACCACAATTGTCAGCTGAAATATAAAACACGTATATAATATAAATAGAACGCCATATTAACGTATTGTGACATGTGGGTGTTGTGGGTGCTGACCGTGTCATACAGGAAGTGACGGATTGTGTTGGTGCTATTATACAGGACAGGAAGTCACGGATTGTGTTGGTGATATCTGTATCATACAAGAAGCCATGACACCCTCTGTTTTCAGACTGTTTCGTGAAATTGTTATGCAATTTATTAAGTCGTAGTTAAAATATCAACAGTTTGTAAATCTTGTGGAATCAGTCGAACAGCTCCCAAGATTTTAAGATTTTATGAAGTCTTGACAATGTTTTCATTAATTTTATTGAAATTGATCATCTTATGAACTTGAGTTAAAATTTGAACTGTTTATAAAGTTAAGGGTAATAGTCTAATGACATATAATTGTTTGTTTAGTCGTTAGAAATTCAATTCTGAGGTACGATAATACAATTTTAATCAACGAACAAGTAACATGTTATACTTACCTTTGACTACACACGTATCATCAATACAAACTTCGCCGTTAATTTCATTACATCGTTTGCCTCCACAATTTGTGGCTGAAAAATATAAACATATTACAGGTTAAACGATTGTCCAATTATTTATTAAGATTTACCTACAAGGAATAAGTCAAGTTAGTTTGTAGATTAATCCACGATTATATGGTAGAATTTTAATTTTATCAGTAAGTTTCAAGATCATAGTTATTTGAGTCGTATGTGAATAATAAATAAGTGGATTTGTTATAAATGTAGTTGATAAAAGACTACATATCTTACCATTGGTCATACATGCTATATCAATACAAATTCCACCTCTTTCTCTACACTCGGTCATGTGACATACTCTCACTGTAAAATAATTATAATATTGGTCACGTGACATACACTCACTGTAAAATAATTATAATATTGGCCACGTTACAAACTCTCATTATAAAATAATTATAATATTGGTAACTGTAAAATAATTATAATATTGGTAATATATTAGATATGTTATATATTTATGATTTAAGAAATCATTGCACTAATGGCCACATCTCTACGTATTTGTTTTGTTCGATAAGCCACACTGCTTCCTGTGATTCAACAGTAGGTAAAGTGTTTATTATAAAGACCAAAATCACAACAGATACTTACTTTTACAAGTAGCTCCACCGAAACCAAAGGTACAATTACAAACACCTTCACCTACACAGTTCCCCCCGTTCAAACATTCTACACCATCGCATGGATCTACTGAAAACCACAGTAATATTTACACGTTACAGTAATGATATATGATTATATATCACAACGTAATTCACGGCAATATGTACTTAGACTGATTGTTTAACTTTTAACTAAGAAAACAAAATCAAAATAACAACGCTAAAACATGTAAACATATTTACAGGGGATTCTATAGCGCACAAAGATAGTATTTAGATATAAAACGATTTTGAAAAAAATCCACTTCAGTGGCGCTTACACATCTTTAAATCTCAACTATTTAATGATACAGAAAACTATAACAACAATTCATGAAACCATACAGGACAACAATATGGTTTCATGAATTGTTGTTATAGTTTTCTGTATATATTGATCTCATAATTCTTGCATTACTGTATTAGCTTGATAACGTTGAGAGAATACTCTTCGAAACGTCGCCCAAATAAATAAGTAGCTGTTTTTCCATAAGTATGTGTTTTTGTGTATTGCTCTACCCAGTTACTAAATGCCTCTAAAAGATTAATGGTAAGAAGCTAGAAAGAGTAGAGAAGCTAGAAACGGTGAATTGTGTGAAGGGCGTGATAACAGTACACGACGCTTGGTGGAGGGGCAGGACACCTACACAAGATGTTTTATGTATGATGAGGTTGGGTTTTTGTCAGTATTACTGCTATGGGTTTTTCATTTGCTCACATTGAAAAAGAGAGAAATGGGGTTTATCGTCCACTCTATACAAACCATGCCTTTTCGGGACCAACATATGGTTTAATTTAACTTCAGCAGTGGGAGGAAATGGGAATTATGATTCAGTACTGGGCCTCTGACTTTACCCGTTTTAATATTACCTTCTGGCATCCTTTTCAGTAGCTACAATTGAATTAGAGTTTATTGTAAATTATAAAGTTGATTTGGATATTATCAAGTGGAAAATAAAAATATTTACCTGGACAACAGCGACAGAGATCAAATTGTTCAACTTTATCACAGTGTAAACTTCTCAGGTTAATTTCAGGTCTCGGCAAGTTCCACCATCTTTCTCTGTGTGCCGTACAACTTGAAAATGTAAGAGCCACCGCAAGATACACCAGACTTAAATAAGTATACATATTGCAACTTGAAGGTTAAACACTACTAGTGAGTGTTCTGCTGTCCTTTTAAACACAAGCTAGTTGTAACAGTCATCGATTGTAAAGAGAACGATACCTGGCTACCACGCCCACTGGGAGGAGCCAAGTATTACTATTGGTTGAGAGGAACATCTTATATTGATGACTATTGATTGCGACGCACCATTAAATATTATTATTGATTACATACTCAATACTTTCATAGGGAGGAGTTAAATATTATTATTGATTACGACGCATGGTGATCATGATTCATCCATGACGTGTATTGTTTGTATTTATGGCTATTACGTGGATTTATTTCTACTGAGCGTGAAAACTGAAAATAAAAGGTTCCCCATTTTCCCTTAGTTTTGGGTTGTGATTATGTATTTGTTGGTGAATGAGAACACTTTTCACGTAATGAATATGAGCATTATATGTTTTCTATGTTTATTGATAAAAGGAATTGTCAGATTTAGTATCAGCTGATTTCGTCTGTAAGCTTCAAGGGAGTTGGGTGGCCGAATTGTTTAATGTGTACACGCTGGATCATAAGGTCTGTCATTGACTGGCTTCGAGGAGGGACGCCTGTCTAACCTCGTGGGCTTCTCTGTGTCCTCTAGTTTTACGTGCAATTGAATTATTGAAATAAAACTGAACCATATGGATATCCCGAGAAATGACATAGTTTGTGGACTCCCCCCCCCCCTCCCTCTCTCTTGTTTAGGATCACCTCACCATCATCAAGTAAACGATAATATACAGAAGGTTTATATAATAAATTTAAAATTATAATAAATAGAAGACCATGATAGTCTTTGTTGTTATTTCTACAGTTCTTACGATAATAAAAATTTCAATTACACATTTTTACGGTAAATCAACAACCGTGAAACGTTTTTAAACCTCTTGAAAATCTAGACGATGGCATAGAGATACAGCCGGATTAATATTTTCATAGCAATCAGATTCAGTTTTATTTATTTACCTATTTTCTTTTCCAAGTCCAATATCCTGTGGAACTATGAAAATCTTGTTGAATGTATTTATTTTCAGAAGTACAATATCTTGTGGAACTCTTGTGCTGAAAAGTTCACCACAAATGCACCCAAACCTTGCCATAAATGAAATGAATTTAGTAAAATGAAAATAAAACTCGGAAATTGCCATTGGAACGTTTTAGCGGTTAGCATACTCAAGACCGTATACCACGAACCCTATTGACATTTATTCTGTCACCAGCAACTTCCTTGGTCAGGTTTACAGTAAACTTTTTACACCAGTGCCACTCCCCGGTGTCTAAATCTAGAGCGTCTCCTCGTCCATTAGTGAACAGAATCAATATGAAAGTTGGTAGGTACCCTTTGTAAGGAGAATACCAGTCCCTGTTAGGGTGACCCACCATAAATAAATATCTCCATATATCTCCATATATCTCGACAATTACGCCACAATATTTATATATATGCCAAGCCTCAAATCAGTTTCACACAATTATAGTCACTAAATAAACGATCATTTTGTTCTTAATAAGCTATGACCATTAATCATCTATAAATAATAGACTGAAAACTGGTTCCAAGTGTCGTCCATAACATCCAGACACTTTTGAGTAAAAGATAGGTTACGTGCCCTTGTTTTGAAATTAGTCTCGCTTAACCAGTCTATCGACCATTCTACGTCTGATTGACAGGTCGGGATAATCAAGACTACTTTTTTACGAAACATAACAGAAAGCTAGAACAAGAAATTGAATTTAGAAATAAGCACGTTAGGTAGCTCAACAATCGTTTTAAGAACCTTGTAAAAGTAAAATGAAACTACTGCTAGTATCATGTTCCTGTCTAACCCGAGTGTTTCAGAGATATTATTTGTACTAAACCAAAAGATGCCGCTCTTAACGGTACAGTTAATGATAAAGCGATTTAAAAAATGAAACGAACGTAATTTCTAAATCTGCTGTAATAACCAAGAAGCTTAATTTCACTGCTATTCAAAATCGTCAACAATAATTTTTTTACGGCTGTAATAGTTGATAGATTTGTAGAGAATTGCACGTGCCATGGCTATTTATAGTATCATACTGTCAGAAAGTTGGTCTCGGCACGGCGAATGTGCACGCTTCGGTGGTAGTCTCTAACTATCAGCGGAGGACTGTTTTTCTGTAGAGTACATAGGTCACCCTACTGTTGGTCATTGTTTTTATTTACTCGTAGGTCGTTTGGTTCTGGGTTGTTTGATTGTTACTTTAAGGGGTGATACGTTGTAACAATAGTTACCAGAGTGGTCAATTGGATTAGTAGAATACAGATGTTTAGTGATGCCTGGGGCCAATTCATTGATTGTATATTATGCCAAGAAGACACATGTATAGGACATGTGAGGAAAGGGGGATATTTTAAATGTTAAACAGATAAAATAAATATTGCATCATAAACTTATTGATTATTTGAAAATATAAAACTGAATTTAACATGAAATTTTACACGTATTTACATGTATTTTGTTAAATTAACTCAACAATATGTTACCAACTGACGTACTTTGATTCTGTCTACGTCAACGTTGAATCATACTGGTGGAATTTTCCATACACAATTTCACTTATTATTTCAGAATTTGATTATTTAAATCTCTGTTTACTGTCCTTTCTGTGGTTTAACGAAGAGCCTACTTTCCTCCACAAATGGGATGCAATGGAGATTGACATACGCCATGTAGTGTGCCCTCTAATTCCAACTGGACGTCATAGAATGTCAGGCTCTCTGTCCTACGCTAATAACAAGAGGGAACCACAACGGAAAATCCTGTGGTACTATCTCGGCTAACCCTGAGCTCGAATCTATCATCCATCTTTATTAGTCCGACAGTTGTAGAATAGGGCGTAAAATTCCGTTTCAAAACATGGGGGATTGTAGGGCGCAAAAAAAATCCGTTTCAAAACAAGACGGATTGTAGGAGGATAGGGCGTTAAATTCCGTTCAAAACAAGGGGGATTGATAGATGATGCATGTACAGTCATTGAGCGCGATTAGTTTTTAATATCTCTGGATTCGGTTGAAACAAGGAAAGTGCAGCAGGAACAGAGGGCACAATATTGTCATTTGAGCAATGGGAAAATGTTGACTCTTTCGAAAGGGCACATTTTCGGGGATGGGGGCACATAGCCACACACGCACACACACACACACACACACACACATATCCTGGTGTCGGATTCCAGCGTTATGGACCATTTGCAGTTTCGTTTATTTTTGCATTTATGGGGGCAGGCTATAAATGCAAAATTTATTTTTCGAAATTTTGAATATTATTTTTTATCATAATTTTAAAAGGCTGTAGTGGTCAGTTTCAGCCTGAATTCGTTTTTGGCAAATCACAAGCTGTTTGAATCGTGGAATGTATCGTTTATGTCATCAAAAAGTTGTATAACGTTGTAGTCAATCTGAAATGAAAGAAACAATAATACGGGTGAACGAATGGATTGGGTTTGATTGACCACTCAATGAGTAAGGGCTGTAGATTACTGGATAGTTAAACTGGATACAGAATGCCCAATAAGATTTCCAAAATCATTTGTTGTAGAAGCACTTAAAATAATTTTTATTTATTTTGTTAGGCAATTTTATGATGAAATTAAAGGAGTAGCTATGGCCTCTAAAGTCGGCCCAACATATGTAATGCTTACTCTTGGCTATTTGGACGAATTGTGGTATTTTTAATTTGCTCGTGAAACACAATTGTTCATTGAAGCAGCATGGCGGAGATTTCTGGATGATACCGGGGGAAACATTTCTACACACATTTCTTAGATACAAAAACACAAATGGGTCATTCCATGTCAACTGGACCAAATTTCGGAAAGTTGGGAACACGACCCCTTCCAAAAATATATGTTATAGTATATAGTCTTAACCTAACAAATCCAAACATTTTACCTCTCTAGATAAAAAACTCACGGAGATATGGCCATTTGAAATTAGGGTACTGAAACAGACTATAAATTGAAAAGTTTTTCTCGGATTTTCAATTGCTTTAAACTCACATTTGTAATTGGAGTACAACTCTCTAACTTTGTAATCTAAGACAACTGTTGGTGTAGATTACGAATTTAGCGTCACACTTAATGTGCGATTCAAACTGTTTGGGCCACCAGGTGGCAAAATGCGGAACAAATGAACTATTCATTTTTTTTCACGATTTCCACAGCCTCTGGCAAATTGGCATAGTTAATGTCAGTTGGTATTTTATCAATTTACAAAAGTTCCTGAGTCGATTGAATGTATACTTCTCAAAATACTCAGCCTCAAAATTCATTCACACGGAAAATTTACAAAAATTACCCATCTTCTCCTTCAATTTTTGCCATGTGGGACAGGGGTTAAAATTTTGAAACTGGTTGAAAATGAAACTTCATTTACCCTATTATAACACACATTAAAGTCCATCTTGTGTATTTGGGGTCTTATATTTTTAATTCGCACTTGAAATCTGTGCGGTGATGGAGTTTTAATAGCTATTATCAAAATTGTTGACGTTTCACGTTGATTTTAAAATAACTTCCAAATGACCTATACCCCTCAAACGTGTCTATTTATAGTACCTTATTGCCTTGATCACGAATATGTAATAATTTTGCATCTACTTTATACCATTCTAAATTTATTTGCCTCCCAAATTAGAAACAAATTGTTGTTCCGCTTCCCAAATTGTAATATCGGGCTTTGACAATCAGATTAAAATTACTTCTGAAAGACTTAGGCTCCACATATTTGTCATTTTAGAGCAACGTATATTGTTCAGTAAGAATATAGACGCATTTGGCTACAGGGAGTATCATTTCAATTTAATTTTGATTTCCAACACGGGGAAAACTTGTTTTGTCTGCATAGAAAGTTGAAGTACATGTACAGTAGTGTTGTTACATTATCACTGAACACTTGAAAACTTCAGACCGCAATTTTTAACGTATGGTCTTGAAACTACATACTTATTCCCTATACCCTAAGGATGTTTCCTATTGTTTTTGGTGCTTGCCCAACCCGGGTCAGGGCCACACCCATCTTTTCTTTGTGTGTCTGTGTGTTTTTTTTCCCTACAGGTCGCAATTCTTAATGGACTGTCTTGAAAACTATTCATATATATTCCTTATACCCAAAGGATGACTGTTATGATTTTTGGTGTATGCCCGTCCGACCCCCAGGGGCACAGCGACACCAGATTTAGTGTTATCGTCCACAGGCTG